GGGGTGGTGGGGTTCTGAAAAAGAGAAAGAGGAAGGCTTTATCATGTACATATCATGAGTGTGATGCAATGGTGTAGCTCACGTTTGTCTGCACATAACATTCTCTTTTTTGTGCTAAACTGAAATTTCTGCTTCATTCTGCTACTACGCCTTCTATTTTTTGCAGTTTCTGCTTTGTTTTTTGCAATTATAAAGAATTTAAATTTTAATATTTTTATTCCATTAGTATAGTTTTACTTACTAATGTAAATCTCGTGATCTTTATCTCCTGACATGCTTAGCTAAAAAGAAAACCAAATTTAGACTCTGAAAGTCATATATATAGGTGAGTTGTTTAGTAGTTGGACTGTTCCTTAACTATTACGGCAACCATATTACCGTTCAGAAACCACTATAAACTAGTTCTAAGATATTATTATTCGTTGATGGAAATTTTTCTAAGTACGAGTTTGCCAAAATTAAGAGGACTGCTAAAGGAATATAACCTACCGATTATTTGTAGGAAAATAGCTTTATTTTTACTCCTAATAATTATAATTATTTTCTTGAGAGAAGAAATTCTTGCTTAATTTTTAAACCATGTATGTTCTCATATTTCACATTCTTTTTTGCCCGGATGTTGTGGGCTACGTGTAAGATGAGTAGGGACAGAGCAATCGGGTCAGACGAAATTCCGGTAGAATTTTGAAGGTGTATGGGCAGAGCAGGCTTGGAGTGGTTGACTTGGATGTTTAATATTATTTTTAGGACGAAAAGGAAGTCGGATAAGTGGAGGTGGAGTACGATGGTTCTGTTATACAAGAACAAATGTGATATCCAAAGTTGTAATGACTATAGGGGTATCAAGTTACTAAGTCATACCATGAAAGTTTGGAGAGGGTGGTGGAAGTGAGGTGAGGAGGACGGTGTCTATACCTGACAATCAGTTCAGATTCATGTAGGATCATTCAACTACGAAAGCTATCTACCTTATTAGGAGGTTGGTGGAGCGGTACAGGGATAGGAAGAAGGATCAGAATATGGTGTTTATTGACCCGGAGAAGCGTATGACAAGGTTTCGTAGAGAAGCTCTTTGGAGATGCCTGGAGGTAAAAGGTATGCCGAAGATTACATTAGGGTGATTAAGAACATGTACGATGGAGCCAAGACTCAGGCTAGGACAGTGGAAGGCGATTCAGAGTATTTTTCGGTGGTTATGGGGTTACAACAAGGATCTGCGCTCAGCCCGTTCTTATTCGCCTTGGTGATGGACGCACTAACACACCATATTGCCATGGGATATGGTATTCGCTGATTACATAGTTCTGAATGATGAGACACGAGACTGCGTTCACGAGAGGCTGGAGGTTTTAAGACATGTCCTTGAGTCTAAGGATTTCAACTTGAGCAAGACTAAGACACAATACTTGGAGTGCAAGTTCAGCAACGAGGCGAGGGAAGAGGGCATCGATGTGAGGCTTGAATCACAGGTCATTCCCAAGAGAGGCAGTTGCAGCCTTGCAGGTACCTTGGGTCGGTTATCCAGGGGGATGAGGATATCGACGATGATGTCACACACCGTATTGAGGGGATGGATGAAATAGATGTTAGCATCTAGAGTCCTTTGTGACAAGAGAATGCCACTAATACTCAAAGGTAAATTTTATAGAGTGGTGGTTAGACCGTCCATAATGTATGAGGCAAACTGTTGGCCAGTTAAGAACTAAAAGTAGCATAAATGAGGATGTTGAGGTAGATGAGTGGGCACACTAGGATGGAAAAGATTAAAAATGAAGATATCCGGGAGAAGGTAGGTATGGCTCCTATGGACGACAAGATGCGGGAAGCGAGGCTCAGATGGTTCGGACACGTGCGAAGGAGAAGCCCAGATGCCCCCGTAAAGAGGTGTGAGCGGTTGGCTTTGACGGGTACGAGAAGAGGTAGAGGGTGACCTAAGTATTGGGGAAAGGTGATCAGATAAGGGCGCGACTTCAAATTTTCGAGGACGTGACTCTTGATAGAAAGGTGTGGAGATCGAGCATTAGGGTTGTAGGTTAGGAGTTAGTTGAGCATTTCTCTACGTCGTACCGGATGAGAGGCTAGTTTGATAGGGTTTTGTCTTAGATTGCTAGTGGTTAATATTATGTTTACACAATTCTTCCATTTTTCATACTTCCAGGCCTTATTTATTGATTATTATTGTTGCTTTTCATCTATTTCCATCTATTTTCTGGTTCTTACAATGTTGTTTTATTTTTATGGTTTCTGTTGCTGGTACTGATATAGTATCTCTTTTCGTTTTCTTGAGCTGAGGGTCTATCGGAAACAACATCTCTACTCCCTCAGGGTAGAGGTAATGTCTGCATGCACACTACCCTTCCCAGACTCCACTTGTGATACTTTACTGGGTTGTGATTGTGGTTGTTGTTTTTTACTTGAATGTCGCATTGCATTTGCTTGAACTCGAAAAATACTTTCTTAATCTGCCTCTAAAGATATATATATATANGAGTGATTATTTTACACTTTATATGAAAACTTTTCATAAAATATTTTTGTACTAAAATGTAAAAGTACCATTCAATAAAGATGAATCCTATGTGGACTGTTTGGATACCAATGATCATAACATTGAATTGTGGAGGTGGGAACATGTTTCTAAAAACTAATGTTATTTATTACTCCTCTGTCTCAAATTATCTGTCGTATCTTTTCTTTACACGCCCCTTAAAAAAATATTAAATAAGAGAGATTTTTGATTTTTTTACTCTTATTTATATCTTAAGATATAATCTCTTCATTTAATATTTACTTATAATTAAGGTATTGTAGTGTTCGAGAACAATTAATATAAAGGGTAGAATAGGAAAAAGAAATTTAGTCTTGAACTTTTAAATAGACAAATAATTTGAGACAATTATTTTTAAAAATCATAGCGCATAATATGAGACGGAGGAAGTATATTGCAACATAATTAATTTTTAAAATTGGTTCATCTTCCACTGATATGCAAATGAATACTTTGTTAACAACTTTTAGAATATGTATTCAGTATTTGTTTCTTTTATCTTCCAACAGTAATTATACATTCATGTATGTCAGTTTTTAATTATTATGAGCGAAGGATAAACTCAATTACTCAATTTCTTTTGTGAAAATCACTCTTTTGATAAGAAACATTGTTCTTTAAATTTTTTTTGGGTATCTCCAATACACCAAACTCATCTACAAGTGTTTAATCAGGTACATCTATTTTCTTTTCCTATTACTTTTTTCAAATGCTTTGATAATTTTATAGTTTTGTCTTTCATCCTTTTCAACCATTTATTATACAGGGTTGTGGCGGATCCAGAATTTTAAAGTGATGGGTGTTCGCCGATAAAAAATCCAAAAGAAGAGGAAAAAAAATTTAGTTATGGGTGCTCACTCTATAGAGCACCTATAAGTATCCATGTACATCCGCCACTGATATAGGGTAATTATACAAGTTTTAATATTTCATTGTAGTGATTCTCAAATTTGGACAATGTTTTGGTATACCGAGAAATCAATAGCAGACTAAATTTTTTGACCGAATTAGTTGGAGAAAGATTAATTAACTATTATAGTAATTAATAATAACTAGTATTAGTACCCGCGCGATGTACGAACATTATTAGGGTGTTTAGCCAAGCTTCTTTTGAGGCAACAATATTTATTTTCTAAAACTAAGGTGTTTGGCCAAGTTTTTGGAAAGAAAATGATTTTGAGGAGAAGCACAAGCAAATTAAAATAATGTACTTTACCATCAATCGCAACGACTTGTAGTTACACTATTCGGGCATCAAAGAAAATGATACTCCTGTAAAAAAAATTGTCAAAAAATGATATTACGTTATTGTTGGAGAAATCAAATAAATTTTAGTTAATTGCTTTATAAGATATTCTTAAACATTTTTACTTATAAGTGTAATACTGTATTCATAATTTTAGAAGACCATTATGTTTATTAATTGAAATTTTTGTTTAAAATAATGTCCTTTACCATTATTATTCATGCTTTTCATAAAATTGTTTATCTTTCAATTTAAAATAATTTTTTTTATTTATCCGTACAAATTCGAAAACTTTATATATTGAAAGTGTTAAGTTTACTAATTGAAAACTTTTGTTTAAATAATATCTTCAACATTATTTTCACTGTTTTTTAAGAAGATGTTTATCTTTTAATTCAACACAATTATTTTTATATTTCAAGAGTCAGTTTGGATGTGCTTGTTTTAAGTGACTTTTAAGCCAAAAGTCATAAGTTAGGAATTCTAGCTTTTGGCTTTTAGCTTATTTTTATCATTTTAGCTTAAAAATAAGTGCTTAAAAGTACTTTTTTACTTTGTCCAAACGCTACAAAATGATTTAAAAGCTATTTTGGTTTAAACGAACTTAAAATAAGCCAATCCAAACGGGTTCCAATTCAATTCAAAATCTTCATCTAT